ATTGAATTTGAATTTGTTCTGCAGCTCACGCGTTTTTTCTTTCTTTTCTTTACTTATTTCTTTTTTTTTTTTGCCCTCCTTGGACGGGAAATTCGGGCAGCATCTTGGGTGGGAATACTGTGCAGCTATCCTTCTTTAATATAGTATAAGATAAGATATTATTTATAATTACTTTTGCTATATAATTTTTGCCCACCCAAATTAAATATCCTAGCTACACCACTGCGTATAGTGATTTAAATAATAATAATAAAAAGGATGGGATATTGAGCCAAATTAAGTCTTATTAAAATATGTAAAACAAATACAATCACCCAAAATCGCGTAATAAAGGAAAAACCAGGACACTAACTTGAATGAAAATGTCAACAAAAAATTACTGGAGACCTGGTTTTGTTTCTTAATCACCAGCCTTATCGTCCAACTCTACTGGGGGATTATGGCGATCAAAGGGAAGCTTGATGCGGCCTAATGAGCCTTGAGGGATGAGTTTCAGATTCTCACAATTACATATCTCGATCATGAATCCATCAGGATCGTTGAAAAACAGTTGATCAATTGCACCCTCATCTTCATCACCCACTGTTCTTTTTATGTACTTCATGTTGTAATCCTTCAGCTTCTGCTCCATGGCTTCCATATTCTCACACTATAAATCACAACGGAATTGATAAGATGGTACTATGAGCAAAGTTTATCAAAATATGCTTACAAACAAAATTTAACTTAAAATTCGAGTTTGACTTGGTTCAATTTGGCAAAACATAAAGCTTGGAAGGGGCGAACTTGTATATTATATGAATCTTTATATTCAACTTCTCTTCTATCATACACGTTTAGCTTTTTCATGAATGAATTTGTCCGACATCATGCGATAGAATGAGTAATAACTATGAATTTATAGTTAAAACTAATATTTGACTTTTATTGTGAATGTATGATTAAAATTAATATTTGACTCTGATTCAATTTATAAAACGTTTATAAATTTGTATACAAACTGAAACAGTGGCACAAAAATTGGAATTAAAAAGGTTCACACAACCCGTGATCTTTTCCTGAAAAAAGCTAGACACGAAGTGCTATAAAAATGTCATATAAATAAAAATAAATCATTTTTATAAATTAGATAGTAGATTTTATAAATATTTAAAATAAATTCAAGTTCTAATTTTATTTAAAAAAAAAAAAAAAATCATGGTATAAGTATCGAAGTCCACAAATATATTAATTTTTAACTAAAATCCGCAGTTATTTCTGTGAATCATAACTAGAAGAAAGCATGGCATAAATATGGAAAATAGGTAGTATGCTATGGCTCCCAAGAGTAATTCATTAGTCTGGGAAGATACAAATAGTCTAACAAGGAAATACCAAAACTACCTTTGAAGTTTCACACAAACAATCATTCTATAGGTACAGATTTTTTTGACAAAAAATTTTGACAGACAACCCTTGTCATGAAAGGGTTGAAAGATGGACAAAAAATAAATAAATAAACTGAAGGCCATTCAAATTTGATTACGTCAGCGTCGGTATCAATTCTGAGATTTTCCTGTACTTGGAGCTTTATGGTAGCTAATAAGTTAATTATCTATTTTGCTAAAGGCAAATATTAATTTCTATGACATTCTAAATTACTATGAATGTGTAATATTAACACATTCAGTAGGATCACTATTATTCCTCTAGAAAGTTACCATTAATATTACATAAACAGAGTCATAAAATAAGTATAATTACTTTTCAAAGTCCATAAAACTCCATATTTTGTGAAAATTATTTAAAAATAAAACATGTTTAAAAAAGTTTTTAGTTTTAAAATGGTTTTCTAGTTTCTGAAGCGTGTAGAAGTTCCCACACACTTAACAAATAATCAAGCCTACTTGATCCCTTTTTTTACAAATCTCATTTTCAATGCCCATTAATATGACCCGTAAAAAAGTTACTATTCCAAAATACATTTTTAAAAAAAAAATTAAAATGTCTCAAACTGGGCCAAAAATAATGCATGGAAGCTGACATGATATTTCAATCCATGTACTCAAACAAATGAACTTAAAATTAAGCCCCCGTCTGATAGTAATTTTAATTTAAATCAAAGTAAATAATTAATTTTAACCACATATATCATGTACCTACAACTCTCCAACCATGTATTAAATCTACTTTTATGAAAATTTACTAACAATTTGATTTTAATCCCTACCAAACGAGAGCTAAGTAAATTAATACATAGATAAACCTGAAAGGAGATATGATTGTCCATGGGATCCAGATTCTCCCTATGATGCGGTAACTTCTTTTCATCCTTAGCGTGCACCAAGTGAATTCCAACTCCATAGTTGAACAGCCACGCACCGTCGAAATCAAACGCCTCCGGCCTCTCAATCAACACGAAGCCCAGAACTTTCGTGTAAAAGTCCACTGAATCTTTCACTGATATGCACACTCTTGAAACATGATTCAGTGCCATCAAAGGGATTTCATGTTCTTTTCCTTGCTTTTGTTCTTGCTTTTTGTAAGGCCAGGACACACGAT